ACTGCTCGGCGATATAATCGGGATATTTCGTGCCTTGCCGGGGCGGGGAAGCGGATTTATTCCCCCATGCAAAACCTCGGACCGGAACTCACCACCGGATTTGACGACTACTGAGAGGCCTGGTCGGGGGGGGGGGCGTTTGTGTGTATATGGCGGTATCTTGTCCTCACCCGATTCTCGCGCGTGGAGGTCGTCCTTGTTCTTTGACTTTTTGATCCGAATACTCTGATCCCTCAACCCGGATTCCACATTTATTGTATTATTGGAAGTATGGTGGATACCGTCGCCCCTCGTAGCTACACTTCCCTCCCCAATAGCCCCAGGTCTAGCAGGGGGTGGGTATCAACAACTCGAAATCTCCATCTTTCCTCATTGTTGCCGGCATTTGGACATCGAAGTCTGGGTCACAATTAGGTTTATGGAATTACTTGCTCGGGGTGTTGAGACTGTCCGTGCGCAAGTGCAATGATTTGTGAACTGGAGTCGGAAAAGCATTTGGAGCTCCGGATGCCCACCCGACTTTTGTTCCAGCGTTGGAGATAAACATCGAATATAAATAGTCGAGGGCCTATTCTGTCTATCACAAAAATAGAGAGGATGAGTTCACGGGCTTTCGGGTATTCGGAACCAGAGCCCTGGGAGTTCCCAAAGTAGAAATTTATTTCAGATTACCCATGAGATTGCCTTTGATGGAGAGTTTTTGAACTAAAGATTATATACTTCCAACCGCGTAATATTATGGGGAAATTAAACATTGGCTGGAAAACATTTCACCACCTTATTAGAGAAAACGTGAGCTTGAGGTAAAAGCGATTTTCGCTGTTTGTCAAGAAAAAAACATCTAATTTTCTTGTGTAATAAGTCAATAATAACCCCGATTGAGCTAATAAGCACCACCAACTATCACTCGCCTAGCCACTCGGTACAAACCCAGTACGTGCCTTCCAATGGATAAAAATAAGAACCGATTCACACCAATCCACAACAAACCCCTTAGGCTCTCGCCACTAGATATGGACCAAAAAACTCGTAAACAACATACTACTAAGGCAACACCGAATCCCGACTGGCAACCTTCACTCTCCTCACCGTACCGCTTTCCCCCGTAGTAATAACCCAGCCAGCCGAGCTAGTACTGGCATTCTCTGCAACATTAGTAGCACTTCTAGTGCCTGTAGTGGACATCTCCCGACCCATCTCCCGTCCACTCTCCAAATCCCCCCTTTCCAGATCTAGATTCATACTGCACGGCCCAGTTTCCCCGGCACTCTCGCCTACGCGGATGGATGGCAGGGGGTCATGCTTCCTCTCCCGTCGTCGGGAAATGTACACGCTTAACCACACGTAAAGCTTGTAGCCGCAGGTAACTAGGGCGAGGACGGAAAGACAAAGGCCTGCCACGATGAGGATTATTAGGACGATGACGGTGCTGAGCGACGGGGCGTCCTTGTCTGGGTCTTCGCGGGCGGCAGAGGAACCACGAATTATGTAAGTTGGTGAAGGTAGAGGATTGAAAGGGATCTTAACCGTTGAGCTGGGAGCACGTGGGCGGGGCCTTCCAGTAAAGCGGGACGGTGGAGAAAGAGGGAGGGAGGGATCAGAATTGGTTTCGGGGTCAACTGGAAGGGAAATACACCAGAAAGTTGGAAAGAGGAGGAAGTGAAGAAGGGATATATGGTGTATCATCTCGGTTTTGAAGAGCAATAATATAATTCACAACAATGGGTTCCAGAATTATCTGTGTCGGAGGAGTTGTGAAGGTGGAAAAGAGGCAAAGGATATTTATTGTAAGTTGGCCTGGCGCTTGCGTACCCCTTTGTGTGGGATGACGTTTAAAGCTGGAATATCAATTTGTTTTTTTATGAAAGTCATTGATACAACGTGATCGGGTTTATGGCGAGCATTCGTATATGATAGGTATATGCGTCTTGTACTCCATCTCATCATGACCTTGAAACAAATCCCCGGAAGGCTTGAAATATTTTCCAACTTTACCAGCGAAATCTAAACTAGCCTAGCAAGGGGCGGGCATCGAGGCTCCAGATAATTCGAGTGTTAACGCACCATTTAGTAATCTCGGAATTTCTCAAGAGACAAACCATTTAACATATTGCCTGAGGCCGGGAATCAGGGGAAATATCGAGTAGAGGAGGTCTTGATAGCCCACCCCAATAGCCCTGATAATCGCCCCATGAGGCAACCCATGAGGCGCTACCACCTGAATTGAGTGAACGCGCAGTGTACACACCACCAACCATTTGTGATCACTCGCCTCATAGTCAAAGTAACGGCAGGCCCCAAATCTCTCATACCATCCCTCGGTCTACGGGAGTGGGGAGAATCAACTTCTATGGGTTCCGCGCGTATTACGACCCGGTGAAGAATATATTATGTCAATTTTATACCAATAATAGTATAAATTTCGCGGGGGTTGGTCTTATGCGAGTAACTTATGGAGTGTTTAGTCGGGGGACCAAATTTGACTCTAGAAGTCTCTTCATGAACTCAAATTACCAGGTTGACACTTCTGAGCATTATTCTCTAAATAGTCGAGTGATATTTCATGAGTCTAGCTTTTTCCCATACCAGAACAGCAACTCTCACTTTATTTACGGTGGATTATTCTTAGCTTAAAGCCCCAGCACCACGTCAAGGTGATAATCCAAGCTGGGGTACCTAAATAACACCCATGTTAGTAGGCCAACAAGTTTGCAACCCGTTAGAACAAAAATCAAATTGAGGGGGGGAGAAAAAAGAAACACAAATCATCGCAGAACAAAACATAAGAAAACAAAACATAGGAAACAAAACAGAGCAAAACAGCTACCTCTCAAATGCTGGAAGACAACACATCCTGACCTTGCTGACATGGCCAGGGACAGGACGAACAACAGCAGGGGGAGGGGGAGGGAGAGGGGAAGAGGGAAAACAGGCCGGTTATGAAGCCGGGAGAATATCCTCAGCTTGCAAGAGGGAGGGGGGGTATTAACAGGGTACAAAATCTCAATTAAAACAGAGAGAGGAGTTGTGTGTGACTGGATAGGGGAACAAGCAGGAATGGGTACAGGGGCAGGTGTAGGGGGAACAACAATCCTACCCTCGTACGCTGCGATGAAGTCCTCGAAAAGATGATCGAAGAGATATGGTGCATTGCGACTATAGTGTGCACCAAGGCCGTTGCATTATGCAATACCTAACCTTGTGAGGAATGAGGGCTATGACCTGGGGGGTATATGATATCATAATAATATTATGATAACAATATTATGATACTTTTTCATTCAATTTATACAACAAGTCTACTTTTCTTGGATGAATTGTTTGTTTTTTTGATTACATGAGATAATAAATTTATTTTCCTGAATATATGGTGGGTAAAAAAAAATTTTAAACAGCAAGGCAGAAGATTATGACTTTACACTGAAGATTTATTCAAACTCTTTAGTGGAAACATGCCAACGAGACTTGTACTTTATATGAACAGGTTTTTCATACTCTGGTGGTGCATAAACAATATTGTTACAGTAAGCTTCTATGATACGCATGGTTTGTACATAATATTTCCAAATTAGCTTTGGAGACATAAGAGCTAATACTTCTGGCACTAATCTTTGTAGGAAGTCAAAACCATATCATGCTCACAACGCTTCCTTGTATACTGCTCGGTGGCATCCCACTAGTATTCAATAAAATTTATTTTGCATTGGAATGCAGGATATGGGACAACAAGATGTCCTACATACTCAATTGCAATTTTGATTACTCAAGACTAGGAAAAGGAAAAAATAAAGAGACTAATATGCCATAGATTGAATTAGCAATGGACATATTCCAGAGTAGTATAATGTTACTAAAAGCTAGAAGCTGGTACTTGAATGTACAAAAACCACTTGTATTTGAATCAAAGATTGACAAAAAAGAATGTCATGGCTGGGAATTGAATGCAGGACTATCAAAAATTGTAACATTTACTGGTTAGCCCTATTTCCTCACAAGGTTGAGCGTTGCATGATCCAACAGCCTTGGTACACACTATAGTCTCAATGCACCATAATCAAACACAGCGTCGGGGAGGCCAGAAATGAATCTCGCAATGAGTTCCTCTGAGTCAATAATGGAGGTAACGACGGAAGGGAAGGCGGCAAGCCGTACAGGGGTGAAAGAGATACTGTTTGCATGGGAAAGGAAAAACTCGCAGAAAAAATGATAAATGAAAGAAAGTACAAAATCCTTGACGGCAGAAGAGAAAGAGCAAGAGAAGGGGAAATAAGACATTAGAAGTGACTTTTTGGGTATAATGGGGAGAGAAGGGTTGGGTATCTAAGCCTGTTCTCACGGAGGGGATAGAGCCAAAGAGGTTGAGAAAGAGTAAAGATGTGTTGATGAAAGTGAGAAAGTGAGAAAGTAGGTATGATAGAGAAACAGAAAGTTGTGTGCAAATGGGAACAGAAATTTCTATGGAGGAGAGAAGAAGAGTGGGAGACTGGGGGCCTTTATAATAATATTATTATAATGTTTTTCCCCCGCCGATGCTGAAGTTGTGTGGGCAATTGACGTGAAGATGTGTAGGTTTTAGGTTTCTATCTGTGGATAGTTGATATCATAGTGTACTGTCTCCGTGTTGGGTGTGGATTTTGGATCTGTAGCCCTTGCTATGTTGCCATTCACTGAGGCGTCTAGTTGGCGGGGGTTTAGGTCGTCCGTAAAAGATTTACTTTTAACCGGGCAAAGCCATGGATAAATTAGGTGGGGAGTGGAAAATGCGATTTGATCGGCCTTCGCATAACTGAAGTTGATAATTACTCCTCCTGGAACCTGGTGCTAGGTGAATGCTGGTATGGCTTAGTTTGTTATGTTGGTATCATAGCCGAGTTCTCATGATACCATTGGACATGCACGGAAAGGTTTGTCGAGGATGTATCATAGAACCTACTCGAGTATTTCCTTGATACCGCTGCTACGAATACAACTTCAAAGCGCTACAGATAGTACAATAATAATGAATAAAACAATATCATAAATTAGTTCTCCCTCTACACTACGCTGCGGGTATGTTAATGATTTTCGTACATGATTCCAATGCTACCTTTATTCCTCATTTTAGCCCTTTCAAGCGCACTCATCTCTCCCCCACCTACACCATGATTTGGAGGGTTCCCATGACTAGCATCTCCGTATCCGCCACTCAGACTAACTCCCCCATCGCCAGACACTGCAGCGCTTTCCTCAGAAACATTCTTTAGCATTTCTAAAACACCCTGAATACCGCTCTCTACAACGGTCCAATCACTGTTCACTACGTTGACTCTCTCACGCAGTTCCTTCTCCGCCTCCTCATCAGAGCCTAACCGCTCCTTTGCAACTTCACCCTTCTCCCGGCCCTCGGCGACACCAACCTCCGCGGTGGACTCATTCATCAGAAGACTTGCGGAGTGGAAGGCTTTCATGAATTTTATACTCTTTTCTTTCAGGGTTGAGAGAAGTTCGAGAGTGTAAAGAAGATCCGCTTTGAAGCTTGCCGTGCGCAGTGGATTGGTAAGGAGCGGCGTCACAGCCTGCGTGAGCTCCTCAGTGTAGTTCAATTCAGCGGTCAGGCCGCGCTCGATGCTTTCCTCGATAGCTTCCATGAGCTGGGTGGTTCGGGCGAATTTCTGTTTTGCGGCTTCGAGGATGCTGGAGATTATTAGTTGGTAGTTCAATTAGCTTGAGGGATGGGGGCGGTTACGCTTTCTTTTCACTCTCGTCGAAGTGCTTTTCCATGCTCTTCATTTTGGAAATGTTTCCAGAGACGTAGAGGGGTTGGATAACTGTCCTTCGGTACCGTCTGTCGCGCTCTAGGATCGCGACTTGAACCTTTTCATGTCTTCGCTCGATGTAGCCCCGGAGCAATATGAGTCCCTCCAACAGGTCCGTGAGTTCTAGGCCTTCAATCTTCGTCCACCGTTCTTTCCCTGAAACAGCATCTTGAAGGCCGTTTATGGTTTGGAAATGCTTGTCCATTAACCCCTTGATCCCCTCTTGTATTTTGTCATAGACCTTCTGGAAGACCTCATCACGGTACTTCTCCCATTCGACTTCCTCTTCTTTAGTCTTCTTTTCTGCCTCCTTAGCATTAAACGCTTCGTCCATGTCACCAACATCACCATAACCAATCTCGTGATCGGCAAATAAACGATCAGTATGTTCCTCGTGTTCTTCCAACCGAACTCTCCGCTCTTCTTCGAGCCTTTGCAGGCGTTTCTTCGAAGCATCGCCATAGGCTGTATTGATCTTCTCAATAAAAGAGAAGTCCTCACCAACTTCATCAATAGTTTTCTTGATGTCGTCGAGTACAGCAGTCGATGGGACCTTGTGGAATCTGGTGACTGGTAATACAGTAGAAAGCACGTCAACCGTCGCCGGAGTTGACAGCCCTAGAGCTGGTGGTGCAGGTGTAGGCCCCAGCTTTAATTCATCAAGGTCAACATCCTGAGATGGCGTAAAACACTCCTCTGAGCTTTCCGGATATTGTCCCTCTGGCTCTGGCGGGAAGTTTGGTGGTTGAGATCTCGTTGGGCTTTGATAGCTCCCGGGTGAAGAAACATATGCCTGGTACGGCGTCGTATCCACTACCGTTGGTGCATGTTCAGGGGGACCGAATTCTGTAGGATGCACACCAACGGGCGGAGCCATGGTTTGCGATCTGCTAGGCTGATTGTATATGATTGAAGTACGTTTGGGCTGGGGTTGAGGTCCTCGGCTATCAATCGTTGAAGCTCTCTTTGGGTCGTATGCAACAAAATCAGACCCCGAAGAAGCCGGCGGTGAGCCCGACTTGGCCACTGGTGCTTTATAGGGAGCATGTGCACCATTGCCTGGAGTTACAGTCTTTGCTAGAGGCAATGTTGATTCGTTGGGACGAAATGGAACATAGCCTTGATGCTGGGGAGGCGCTGGTGAGGTAGGTTTCTGCTGGGGAGGGCTGTGGACTGCGGGATTAAATGCCTTGTAGCCATCATTCCCGACGGGTGGATCCTCAACTTGCTGTTGAGGTTTCGGCGGGGCCGCACCCGGTCGGAAAGGTTGATAAGTTTCAACCCTCTCTAGATGTTTGGGTTCTTCATGCTGAGGTGCTTGGTAGGCAACTTCATGAATTGGAGAAGGGATATTAGGGGGATGTGGCTGGTTCTGAGGCGTGTGATGTTGCGGCTCGCTGGACAAGGGGGGTACAGACACATCTGAAGCTGCCTTCTTGTTTGAGATTTCAGGGCTTCTCTCAACAGTCGGGGCGCCAGCTGGGCCATCGGGGTTCTTCATACCACCGAACACACTTCCTTGCCTGCTAGGGATATCCCCAAGAGCGTTAGGGTACCGTTCCCCTCGAATGAAGTATTCCTTTTCCATGAACTCCGTAAATACTCTCAATTTTTCTTCATCAGAAGTAGCTGCAACCTCCGCTTGTATCATATCAATGAAGCGGTGGATGGAGTCGGCGTAGAATTGCTCCAGGGAATCTAGAGGATTTGGTTCTTCCTCAGATTGGGCCGGAGCGGCAGGCTGCAGTGTTGGGGCAACTTCATAAGATGGTTGCGCGGGTTGTTGGGCTGTCTGCTGGACTGGCTGTTGGGCAGGTTGTTGGGCAGGTTGTTGGGCAGGTTGTTGGGCAGGTTGTTGGGGTGGCTGCTGGGGCGGCTGCTGGGGAGGGTCCTGGGGCCATCCGCCCGGAACCTGCTCAATATATGTACTCTGGGAGGGGGGCTGAGGGGGTGGAGGTTGGTGTTGTTGCTGCTGAGGAGTCATGATTCTCTGTGGCTGTTGCTGCTCATATTGTTGTGGGGCTGGCTGTTGATTTTGCGTCTGTTGCTGCTGCTGTTGCCGTTGCCATTGATGAGTGTCCGATCGCTGGTATTGGTCCGGTAGTGACTGGGGCGCATGTTGCTGTTGATGTTGAGGGGTCGCAATTCGTTGAGGGGGCAGCTGCATCTGATGTTGAGGGGTCATAATTCGTTGCGGTGATTGGTGCGCTTGGTGCTGCTGTGGAGTCATGATCCTTTGAGGTTGCTGCTGCCACTGCGGTTGCTGTTGTTGGGGAGTCATCACTCGCCCAGATGGGGCATATCCTCCTCCAACTACACTACCCGGTCTCTGTGGCTGCTGAGGACCCGTGGCCACCTTGTGAGGTGAGGGTGGCGAGACGAAGCCAGATCTCCCTCCTTGCTGCTCATTATAGTATCCGCTCGGTGCATGGGCTGGTGATCCTCCTATCTCTGCGATCTCAGGAGTCTCAGGGCGACTGACCAGCGAAACCTCATCGTCAGCCGCACTGCTATAGTGCTCCCATCCACTGATGTCTGATGGGCCAGAAGAGAAAACCGATGCCCCGGTCACGGGCGGAATGGTATTCTTCCGTTGCGGAGCTGGGGGCGGTGTAGGGCTCGATATCCGTTGCTGCTGCTGCTGCTGCTGCTGCTGGGAAAAGTGATTGTGGTAAGCGGAAGCGGCCGGAGCTTGCGGTGGCGGTGGTGTTGGGGTTGACTGAGGTTGCTCCAAGTGGTCAAACCTTTGGGTGTACCGGCTCTTGGGTCGACCTGGCGGGACGACTGTAGGGGGGTCAGTACGCGAAGGAGCTTGTGTTTGTTGGTCAAGCACCTGCGGCTGCTGTCCATACTGTTGCTGGGACTGTTGCTCGTACTGTTGCTGGGGCTGCTGCTCAAACTGCTGCGTAGGCTGTTGATACTGGCCCGGTTGTTGTTGCTGCGGCTGCTGCTGCCAGCCGTCTTGCTGGGACGTCATTGGGGGTGGGGGTGGGGGTGGGGGCGGTGGCAGCTGCTGGCTTTGTTGGAGACTAGGGGGGTATTGCTGTTGAGGAGCTTGCTGGTACTGCTGCTGTTGAGGGTTTGGTGGGTATTGGCCACCCCCAGGAACGCCACCAAATTCAGGATGTAGAACCGGAGGGGTATACTTAAACTTCTTCTTTGGCCCATCCGGCTGAGCCGTACCCCACGCAGGGATGTTTTCTGGAGGCGGCGGTACAAAGACCCCAGGCGCGGGGTTGGTATTGACAGGTTGATAAGCAGTGACCCCGGTACCGGAAAGTGATGGGGGGATATATCTATTCAGTCATTAGTGCCGATTCAATAGACCCAGGCAGAGTAATCGCTCACGCAACATGGCTCTCAGATGGGCTCTGCACAGTTTCAGTTCCACCATTCTGTTGGCTGCCATATCCAGATGCCATGCCGCCGACATTGCCCCCGGTGTAATACCCCTGCTGAGTCTGCGGTGCCGCCGGTTGGCTAGGTTGCGCAAACTGTTGCTGGGGGCTGGTTGTTGTTTGCCATTGCTGCCCTTGGTACTGCCCACCATATGGCTGCTGGCCTTGTTGATATGAGCTCGTGGGGGCAGCGGGTGATCCAGGTGTTTGCTGGTTGTATGATTGAGTAATCGGTGGGGGTGGGGGAGGTGGTGGGGGTGGAGGAGCTTGCTGCTGCTGCTGCTGCTGCTGGATAGGTGTCCCAGGGGTTTGCTGGTGAACACTCGGATTCTGGGGAGTAGGGGCATACCCCGTTCCAGTATTACCTTGGTATGTGGGCGCTTGGGGGTTATAGATGACCGACTGGGGGCGGGCCGGGGCTAGCGGAGAGGCGGGTTGGTTCCATTGCGGTTGGGCCCATTGTTGTTGTGCAGGCGCTGACGCAGGCGGCGGAGGTGGAGGTGGAGGTGGAGGTGGAGGCTGCTGATACTGAGATTGCGGCTGTTGGCCATATTGCTGAGGAGGGTACTGTTGCGGTTGAAACTGCTGAGGCGGATATTGTTGTTGCTGAGGGGGGAATCCGGCTACGAGTAAATGATCAGACAAACTCCTTGAAGAAAAAAACATCATAATTCATCCTTCCAATGGGGTCTCATCCCATCTCTCACTCATCCCGCATCCTATTCCCCTCGCCCGCAGCAGATATCACGTACAATTATAACTTGCGTTCGACGGGACCCCTGTAGCAGTCCCAGGTTGAACCCCTCCCATCTGCCCATTGCCAAACTGTTGGCCGTACATATTTCCTTGCTGTTGCTGTTCCTGAGGACGCACCACTGGTCCAGTCCAGGGAGGTGGTACTTTATAGATGTGCCCAGGCTGCATAGTATCCGTGCACTTGTTCAGCCGCAGGCTTGGCGTACAGTTTGTCGTATGATATTCTGAGCACTCGCTCGCGCTTAGCCGCGGTCAGAGGGGAAACTGAGCTTTTATCAGGAGAAGTTGGTTTTGCGCAGTGAAGTAGGATGAGTATGATAGCTGTGATGTGGATGATTTTATAGGTATGCACTATAGGTGATAGCGCCGCCTGGGAGGAATGGGGAGGAAACAAGAGAAAAAAGGAGAAGTCAGGAGATGGTGCAGCTCAGCTCTATTTGTGTCACGGGTTTAAGGAATCGGAGGTGATGTTGGGTATTGTTGTTTTGATTGTTCCCCTATTAGGGAAGATAGGCTGGAGAACGAACCCCTCACGGTGTCGCTAAGGAAGCTTGATCGAATCACCCTGCGTCTTGGCGTTGAGGCTCATGGATCGACAGTCCCGTGATTCGAAAAGCAGGTGGAAGAGCAGCCATCGCCCAGCCCAATTCCCAAGGCTATCCTTTTGCCAAGAAACAGCAGACAGATGGCACCAGATACCGGTAGACCACCAAAGCTTATCCCGTGATGCTCGTCAGGCAAAGCAATAATTGACAGATACCGTATCGTACCGGTACCAGTACGGTACTCAAATATCCAAATGGAGAAACAACCATCCCACCACTTGCAGGAACCGCTGCTCAAGTAAACCTTGCCTCACTCTCAGCCTCTTCATGGCCTGCAGGTGATGGTTCTTGACAACCGGTCAGCACGACCCCATCCCACTTGGTCCAAGCTTAGGGGAGGTGCATGAAAACGTGGTTTTGGTCCGCCTTGGCCAAATGCGAACGGCGGCAATCCCTGATGAAGATCACTCAGATATCCCGAGATTAGGAAAAACGTATATTTACTCGTACAGTGAAACATCCGTTATCTCCAGCCTTTTGGGAGACTGGTCAGCTAGATCTCATGGAAATAACAGGAGGTGGAAAATATGGAATAGGCTTGGCAGAAGAGGGGGTATCATACTAAAAAGAAAATCAGTGATAACTCATGATAGGCATACACTTTATTTCTAACTCACACTGACGCATATGGAAGAACAATGTATTTCTCCCAGTTTATGCTAAAAACCCCCACACGTACACACTCAACCCCCTATCGTGTTGATTGAAGTGGGGGGTTTCCCTCTTTCACAGTAGGAGTCAATGGCAGGGGCAGAAAAGTTGAATGCTTAGTTTTCTTTTCTGTCCTTTTTCACGTAATTTATTTCCTGAAAACCTGTCAGATTCTCACCTCTGAGGAGAAATAATGTGACACTACAGATCCGGAATTTAGGGACATTTACAGCCTAGGAAGAGGAGCTAATAGACCTCTAGAACTGAAATGGGGAAAGCTCATAGAACAAAACCCGTCTCCCGACGGGGGACAGAAATATTAGAGTCCTGGAAATATCGGAGGGTGGAGCTAGTGGGGGTTTCACTGTACAATACATGGAAAGTTATTCATCACCACCATGATTCACCAGCGTCACGTGGTGTATCAGTTGCACTCAGTGCGCGAAAGATCACACTCCTAGGGATCCCCACCGACCGTTCGCTGAAATGACATGCTCATTGGGTTCCCAGGTTGCAGTGCCAATGGTTGACCCCAATAATGAGGGAAGCGTTGTTCCAGTCATTGGCATATCTGGGGAGATTTAAAACTGGAAAAAATGTCTATTTTTCTAACTGCGGCGTGACTCTAGTGCAGGCAGAAGCCACAAGTGGAAAAAGGAGACTTGATGATCGACAATCCCCTCGCTCTCCCCCACATCCCCCACTACTCCCGGATATTCCGAGATCTTGTTAACTTAACGTCTCTACTCCAAATTAATTATTTGGTTCTATAATATTATGAAGAAAATCTACTTAATAATTAAACCCGCTACTTTGGTGCTAGTTCTCTCCAGCAGCGGTTTCAAACACCACGACAGATTTTCTCTGTGCGTAACAAAGACTTCATAAGTGCCTAGATGGGAAATAGTGAATAGTTTTGAGTTTTGATGGTTCAAAGATTATGCGGCCCAGATCCCCCAATCCTCACTTCCACTCTCAAAGACAAATCTGTGTTCCGCAAGGATTAATAGTCTACCCCCCTAATGAGGTGAGGATTCTCGAGGTCAAAGTTTAACTCGCGATGAGGACTCCCGTGCCAAACACCAACCCGCGGCAAAGGAGCAAGGCACCACCATAGCCAACATCTAGTCAAAAGACCCAGAGCCATATCACTAAAATCAACCCCATAAGGAATACAATTGATAGCGAAATACGGAGCGTTATGCTCATCAAATACCCGCACAGAGCTCACACCCAAGGCATTCTCTAGGCCATTCTAAACGCCACCACGCAATTTCATAAGGCTATGCCCAACCGCATAGCATAGTGCAACCCGGATTTGGGAGAAGAAAAAGAGGGAAAAGAAAAGACACAAACACAGCGATTAGACTAGCAGATCAGCTTTACCGGAATCTTATGCACATACAAAACCCCATTACAAACTTTAGATTTTATTCTGCCCTTGGATCTCTTAGTTGTTAACATATGTAACCTACTCGTCGGTTTCGCGTGCCTTGAGATCGACCCTCGCACGAGGGGGATGCGCTTACCCACTCTACCGATATAGTCTGCCCAGATGAAAACGCTAATCTCACGCAGTCAGGAGAAAAATCAAAATGGGAGAGGAGTGTGGGGAGGTGTAATAATTTGGGAAGTTCGGATTACAGTACAGACATCCCCACCCACCAAATTTCACATCGCAAACCTCCAGACAGAAGGGATTTCCGGCGAGGGTTTGGCAATATGGTGTTCAGAGGGCGTTATGAGGCTTGGGTGACTCAGTGGGGGTGGCTTTCACTCTGGTTGATGCAGGGTGGTTTCACCCCCCCCCGAGGCCTAGGGTGTCTGGTTCTGGGAGCTTGGTGCCATTCCTCTTGTGCTTGCGCGGACGCGTGGGCGGTTCAGACCCCTGCGCTGAGGCTGGCTTGCAAGTAGATATCTGGCTGGCCTTTTGATTTCTGGGAAAATCTTTGGCGCTTTACCTTCATCGCTGCCTTTGCCTTTATCGCCTTGGAGAATGATTGGTTCGAGAGAAGTAGAGACGGTGGTGGTATCGAGAGAGAAATCGGTTGAGTTAGGGAATGCAGACAATTGGCGTCGCTGGGTCGGGCAGTGCACCCTTCTACTTATTGGTGATTAGTTTGGGTCTGATTGGGAACGCGCGAAAAAAAAGAACGAATAAATATAAAGGTATCATACGTAGAAGATTACCAGAAAGATAGGTCTGATTCTTAGTTTTCTAATCTGACATGGGGTGAGGGATGTCGTTAGTCCTCCACTTCTAGATTGTTGAGTGAAAGTTAGCTTTTGGTGATAAATGTCTCGCTGTTGGTCTCTGCATAGTGATTGAAATTAACAGGTATGGTATGATAATATAATAGAAAGCGAGGAATAAGAGACGGTATCATATCATAGCATTGCATTTGCCTTTTTGGGCCTTGTAACCTATACAAGCTGGAGATATTCCTCCACCATTTGGCGGTAACAAGTCTGATACTGTGATGCCTGATGGGCGGCCATAAGCTCAACCGTCCAGTGAATTTGAACTTCGAGAGCCTTGGCGGCCTCGAGTCCTACCGGAGTCTTCTGTAAACTCCAGTTCTGGTATCAGGCGTCACGATATCATGCATACAGTTTTTCGAATCCTTGAGCACGACCTAAACTTCGACCAACGTAGATGCCCTAAATAATTGTAACATAGTCAGGGCTAAACACCCAAAGTCCATCAACCTATGGTATCATACATCTCACTCACCAACCATCCCCCAATTCAAAACCTAAAACCTCTCAGCAGTCGCCCACACAGCTTCAGTATCGGCCGGGAAAAAACATTATATAAAGGACTCCAGTCTCCCACTCTTCTTCTCTCCTGCCCAGAAATTTCTGTTCCCATTTGCACACATAAGTTTCTGTTTCTCTATCATACCTACTTTCTCACTTTCTCACTTTCATCAACACATCTTTACTCTTTCTCAACCTCTTTGGCTCTATCTCCTCCGTGAGAACAGGCTTAGATACCCAAACCTTCTCTCCCCATTATACCCAAGAAGTCACTTCCAATGTCTTCTTTCTCTTTCTCCTTCTCTTCTGCCGTTAAGGCTTTTGTACTCTCTTTCATTTATCATTTTTTCTGCGAGTTTTTCCTTTCTCATGTGAGCAATATCCCTTTCACCCTTGTATGGCTTGCCGCCTTCCCTTTCATTGTTACTTCCATTATTGTCCCAGAAGAACTCATTGCGAGATTCATTTCTGGCCTCCCCGGCGCTGTGTTTGATTATCTCTTCAATTATCTTTTCGAGGACTTCATCGCAGCGTACGAGGGTAGGATTGTTGTTCCCCCTACACCTGTTCATGTACCTGTTCCTGTTTGTTCCCCTGTCTGGTCGCACACAACTCCTCTCTCTGTTTTGATTGAGATTTTGTACCCTGTTAATACCCCCCCTCCTTCTTGCAAGCTACAAGCTAAGGATATTCTTCCAGATTCATACCCAGCTTCTTTTCCCTCTCCCTCTTCCCCTCCCCCTCCCCCTCCCCTTCCTCCCCCTGCTGTTGTTCGTCCTGTCCCTAGCCATGTTCGCAAGGTCAGGATATGTTGTCTTCCAGCGTTTGAGAAGTAGTTGTTTTGCTTTGTTTTGTTTCCTATGTTTTGTTCTCCTATGTTTTATTTTCCTATGTTTTGTTCTGCAATGCTTTGTGTTTCTTTTTTCTTCCCCCCCCCCAGCTAGGATTATCACCTTGACGTGGTGCTGGGGCTTTAAAACTAAGAATAATCCATCCATGGCGAGTCATATGAGACCACATATTCCCGAGTGAGAAACCATGATTGGACTAAAAGGTCAACACATCACTGTCACCGCATATGTCAGACGCCCCCGCCTGAGAAGCTGTGCGGACTCCATATACAAGGGCAGTCGCCGTACACCAAGACTAACGTTACGCACCCAAAGATGATTCCTAGTCCACGGAGTCTGACCGGGTATAGAGGTGCGAGTTACTGCAAGACGTGGCCCACCTAGGACGGTGGCACAATGAATGACACACGACGCGACCCAGCACGGAATGAGGATCACGACCGGCGCAAAGATATCCGGAATGAGTTTGGCGGAGGCCCCTGCTGGGGAACATTACTTAGCCGTCCGATCGAAGTGAGAGACTGTAGAATCGCCAAACCGAAGCGCAGGCCCACACCAAGGGCCTGATTCCCCTCCCCTCGACTCCCAGCGCGCCGGAAGAAAGGTGACTCTCCAGAGGCCCATCCTGACCCTACCACCCAAAGTACCAACACATCCCAAATACCGGGAAAGCAAGCCCCCTATCATAAATGTCTTCACCCCAGCCACTCGCGCGTCTATCGTGAAAACACAAGTCTTACAATTCAACAACGAGGGGGGAAATGTCAGCCGGCTGGAGTGATTATTTAGATGTGGGGGATCCGGACGCTATCATTGGTTGCAATACCGCCAATTTTGACTTCCCTCATCTGCCTGACCGCGCGAAGCATCTGAAGCTCGGCTAATGCCCCTATCCGACACCACCCAGGAACTAGATAGGGAGCAAAGGATTCCAATTTTTCCAGTAAATAGACGGGGAACCGAGATTCGAAAGGAAGAAAGCAACGAATACCGGTCGTGATCTCCAGCTTGACTTGCCACACAGTTGGTCCAACGTGGTTACCAGCTTCGTTCATATACTTTTGAATTCTGTCAGTGCCCACTTCCCCGGTAAGCAGAAGGAAAGCTTGCATCACAGTACGATCACTGAAATACACGATCGCACTGCAGACTCAAGGCGCCATCTGGCTGCGCATCGTCTCAAGAACTCTTATCTCGCCCTGAGATTGGTGAATAAGCTCACGTGTTTGGTAGAAACTACACGGAGATGGCTCATGTCATCCGTGTCCCGTTCAATTATTTTCAGTCCAGTGGACAGCGGAACGAATTCATTTCACAGCTATACGGAAAGACCAAGGGACAGAAATTAGTGCCACCCAACCCCCCATCACATGGGTGATGGCCAGTACTAAGGGGGCATCTGTTAAACCAGAGGGGATATTATGATGTGCCAATTGCAACTCTGGCTTTCGCGCTTTTGTATTCCAGTATCATGCGAGCATACAGCGGCCAATAAGAGGTGAAACCGCCAGAAGACTCAGATATCAAATTTACGATGTCTGGAAAGCGATACTACTCCAATACTTATTTTCCTTTGCCCCTATGGCGTTTCTGTTTTTTTGCATTCCATTTTTCGCTCTATCCCGCTTCTCTCCCATCTGTACTTCGTCTTTCCGGGTGATGTCAACGAAGATAAATTGGGCTTGTTCATTTCTATGGACGGAAGTATTGAGTTGAAATAATATGTTCCTGCCTCCTTTGCTTATCCAAATCCAAAAATCCAAAGTATGAGTACCGCGGCGGTTTCAGTTCTTATAGAGCGCATAACCTTTGCTAAGTGATCCTTGTTAATAAGAAGACTAGTGACCGGTCCCGCCTTCAAATGCGCATAGATCATGAAATAACTCCAAATCCCGATCGTTTTGTCAAGACCCACAGACGCAGTGGGGCGGTACCAGGCCTTTCTTGGAGCAAGAGGGAAGGAAAAATCGGGTCAAGAAAGCGACTGGTCCTTTCGGGAAGGGAGTTCAGAACAGGGGACAATTGGCTTTAAAAAATATTCGCCAAATCTCTCTACGGTACATACTGGTGCGACTATGGGGAAGTGGCCATGTTTACAAATTGCTCCGGGTGTTGCGGGTTGTGTTCGCGGAAGTATTGTGCGAACAAAGATATATGTTGAGAAGAGATATACCAACTATTCCAAGGTCAGACACGGATTCCCTAACGGTAAAGATTGGGGCTAAAGATCTCCAACCGCCACAAAGCTGAGGAAAGAAGTCGCAGAAATTCCTTACTCCTAACTAGCTTGAGTTTGAAAAGGTGCACTTCCGGTATCTACCCATCAGCAAAAAATGGTATGCTAGCTTTCGCCAGACGAATACTGAGAATCACGACAAGATGGACAGTAGGGGAATCGAAACAGTTAGACTAGACAATCTCAGACCAGTTCAAGTTTGGGTTAAGGTGGTCTTGAGATGGTTTTTGATCAATAGAGGCGCCGAAGGGGCTCATACGTGTGCACCCCTACCCTTGATTTATGGACCAGGCTTGGTATGCCAATGGGCCATCTGCAGATACGTCAAAGATTTGATTTCGGATCCTCTCCAACACCGCATCGATATGAGCTAGCTGGTGACTACAAAGGCTCTTTCAAAGAGTTATAACGCAAAACAAGCACATGTGAAAACTTGCAGAGAGGGTGAGGAAAGGCGGTGCTGGTATGCGGTTCCTCGTGTTGGACAGAAGTGTTTCTTGGCTGCTCACCGCATATTTCCCTTATGGCAACGACCACACAACCCTAACCCTCTTGGTATCAACTACTCCAACGCCTCAATGTTTGACTACTGGTTAGCCCTCCACATCAAACATTATATGCAACAACATCTGCGACAATACTTGCGACAACTTCATGTTAGGGTGTTACCCCTATCATATGGAAATACCAAAAATCCTCGGCCAGAGTATACTCTCAGTCGAATTCACTTATCCTCGGCCGAAGTGGCGCAATGGGCAATGGGCAATAGTAAAACTGAATGTGATAGAGAACACGGCATACGCTGGAAGTATGTGGAAGCAGATCAGTATGATCTTGGGGAGGATAAAAGGCAGCTTGTTTTCCCTTATTAGTTGTTTTCATTCATTATCCAATTTGTCTCTCTTTCCTCCGTTACTCGCATTTGGGTCATAGCAGTCTTTCCCGTTATATTTTATTCCCTATCATTGTTCTTCGCGAGAATATTTCTCCAGTTCAGATATTGAAATTCATCTTTACATCTTTGCCCTGCCTAAGTCAACATTGTCCAAATCGCTGCCGTAATCCTTGTTGTTTAAAACCTCAAGCTTTGGGGGTTATCTCGCAATGAAGTTAATTGAGTGTGACAGGTTATGCGCCAACAGTCAGAGATAGTGTGGCATGTCGCTGTGAAGAGAGCAGGCTATGCAAAGAATTACGAGAATATGAACATCAAATTTTCGTGCTCGAGAGCCAACTTCCAAAACCCCTGTGCAGAATCTCCCAGCCCACCATTGGTAATAAGAAGGCTCAGCTGTTGTATGCGTATGCCTTGAGGATATTTTATACTGCCGGATCTCGGTAAATCCATGCTAAAAGTTATACATAGTAACTGGCCATCGTACGTTCGCACCATTGGTTCCAACTCCCAGAGCCAGCGCACCCATGAAATTTTCCAAAAAAAAAAAAAACCGAAGCAGATATGAAGTGCAGAAGAGGGGGAGGCTGGCGGTTTTTTTCTCCCGGATTGTAAACCCCAATTGGGCAAGCTGTGCCAGAAGACTGTGACCAGAGTTTCAGAGCTATCTTAGCAGACTTTGGACCCTATGTCAGGGGCGTCAAGAGAGTATTCATTTCGAGGTCATTCGCAGTTCCCAGTATTCCCCTATCTTTCACACAAGACTAAAGGCGAAGAAGGATGTTGACGCTATTAGCTAGTAGTAGTGGGGGTGGGGGTGGGGGGTTCACCTGTCTTCCTGTGGAATATTCATATTGATATCTCTTTTTCCATGTCCCATTTCCCCACCCTATGTCATGAATGTGGCTTGGCACAGAAAAGGTTTTCACATGACTCATGATTATGAGTCATAGGTATGTTATTGTTTTACGCATATGAATTATTTAGGTCATATAACCTGTTATGTTATGATTTGTTATGTTTCGCACATGACTCGATTATGAGTCATGAGACATGTGCCTGGTGAGTATGCCTTGCAAGTATGCCTTGTGCATATGATTTATATTTTGCACATGACCTCATTATGAGCTCATGGGTTTCACACATGTGACCACTTAGAGTTATATGACTTGTTTATTATGTTATGATTGGTTTATGAGTTTTCGCACATGACCTTGCTACGAGGTCATGGATTTTGAGCATGTAACTACTTTGGTCATATAACTAATTTGTTATGATTTGGTTTTACGCATGTGACCACTTTGGGTCACATGGCTTGGGGCGGGTAGAACACTATATAAGGAGGCCAGTAAGGCTAAGGAGGATAGGTTCTTCATGCTTTATACTAACTACTTTCCCTATTTATTACTTTAATGAATATAAAACACCTTTACGCTCTTTATCATTATTATAACCTTTATCATTATTACACTGAGAAAGCTCTTCATGAAGAAGAGTTAGAGAAAGCTTACAATAGGCATTCCCGCTAGAAGACAGAGGTCTTGTACTATCGGTAACGTAAGCAGAGGCCTAGTGCTATCGCAAGGCGAGAAGAAGAATGAAGAAGGGGAAATATTGTTCCAGTCACCAAGAACTAACCATCTGAAAAGCGATCATAACACCCTACCTCCTCTTTCAGCCCAATAGTCCACCATTCAGAACGTCCAGTCTCTTCCTTGAGACCTGCCCTTTTGCCCTCTCCCTGGCCTCCAAGCAAGACCCCCCCCCAAAAAAAATATCATATGAGGGCACCATCCCTTTACACGTCCACGAGCCTCAACAAAACGATCACCGTTCGGAGTTATTTCTGATGGAGGACGTGTCGCGCGCAATGGAAGCTGCCGATACAAGCACCGCTGGGACGCTGCCATGAGGCTAACGTGAACGAGAAATTGGGACTAGAGTGGAAAAGAAGATATGTTATCGATGATCGTATCATCTAGAGAGAAAAGGAAAAGAAACAAGCTAGCTACAGATCTGTGTGGTCATCCTCGGTGCACAACATAACCTACTAACCCTAGATACCAGTCATAGCAACCCTTCTCCCTGCTATGCCCTAAACCCACAATGGGGTTACTCCATCAATTTCGCAATCCAATAAAAAGGGCCAGACCGGTTCTCTATTCCCCTCCTCCTTCTCAACAAGAGAGAGAGGGGGGGGAGAGCCATATTTGCAAAATGTTATCGTACGTGCTCGCACGGTACCGGGATATCATATCACACAAACTTGCGTGATCAAAAGTCCCCATCGGCACATCATAATATCCCCCCCTCCCGGGCTCCCGCGCACTAATTATCACCACCCCGCGGTGGGTGGGTGCCAGCAGTAAACCTGACCGACCGACTAACATCGCTCACTCATCATACTCACAATTTCTACTAAATTATTCATTGAACACCAATATTTTCGCTTTTTTCCCCTGAAAGTTTCTTCCCGCCCCCGCTCTAAATCCCAATGACACACAATATCGCCTTTTACCATGAGCTGACACACAGGGTGTTCCTATCTTTTTCCTTTCTCCTGAGGGGTCGATGGTAAAAAACAGTGTTTCAGTTATCATAGCTTCATAGCTCATCACTCGAGTATTTTGCGGCTGTCGCTCAGTGTGCGGTATGATATAAGGAGAAAGTGAAGTTCGACCACCTACCACCGGCACAGGGGCTTATATCCTCGAGACGATAAAAGGTGGAAGCGCAAGCGAAAGAGAGAAAAAACTGACATCATGTGAAGAATCTCAGAAAGAACGAAGAAGAATGAGAAACAGTGCAAAAGGGGGGGGATTTCATAGCTAAATATGTAAAGGTTGTAAAGTTATGACATAGGCGGAGAAGAGATGAGAGCAGTCGAGTATAACCTAAGGACGAAAGGAGTAATGGAGAAAACACTAGTGTCGCAGTGGAGAAACAAATTGTGAAACGAGACACCTCCTATAACTACTTGTATTCTGCACGGCGGATTGCCACCAAATCCAACCCAGGTGTCGAGTGATACCCGATGAGTACAAGCCGCTACATACTCACACCAGATCCACTGCTTGTTTTCGGAAATGTTTTATTGGGTTTTCTAGCACGCGTATATAGCTAGCTACCGCACTGTGTTCAGGAACGAAAAGTGTTTAAAAGAGGAAATTAAGGACAAGGGAACAAGTGAGAACCACGAAGAAATGTGTATATAATACAAAGAGAACAAAAGCCATAAAATAGCCCGTATAGAGAGACGAAAAAAAAAATAAGATCAAATTAAAAGTTAATACAGCACACCACAGCCCATAAAATTTAAAATCTGTTAGCACTTTGTCAGAATGCAATTGGAGGTCAGAATGTATTTACTTGACCAACACATGTTATATGGTAAATGAAACAAAGGGGGAAAAAAATCCATCCGCAGCCCAACAACTCCAATCGTATCACCAACGCTATCCAAGCTATAACAGAAAGACAAAAGGGAAATATCAAACACATCCTTTAAATTTACCCACATGGAAACCCATTTAGCGCACCAGTATCACCATCCCCACATCACCATAACGACAAAAAAATCACCACAAAATAACATCCCAGTCCAACATAGCACAAAATAAAAGCACAAAAAGGTTGCAAAAAAAAAAACTCAGTCCCAATCATTGTTGTCAGGGTGGTGACCCTGAGTATCAAGTTTCTGCCTCTTGGATTCCTGATCCCGCTGTTCCTCCTCTTCAACGCCCCCACAACTGGACTCCTGGAAATTCCTCTTCAGCGCTGGAGATCGGCTCCATGCAGTGCGAACATTCCTCCCATCAATCCCGTGTCTAAGGCCGAGACCCCAAGTTTCATGAGACTCGCTCCTAGCTCTCTCTTGAGAAATTGATTCGAGAGCACCTTGCGGGGACTCCCAAGCCATCTCCCCGGCTTCCGAGAGTAGGCCCCCATCAAATTCCTTCTGGGGAGGGCTCCCCCGGGTTTTCCCATGTCCATCGCCTGGGGCGTCCGTCATGAAAACCATAGACCATTCCCCACTGAGGACTTCAGCTAAAACATATCCCATGGAACCATCTGTAAGCTCAACTCTATAGAGCTTTGCTGTCTCCCCAGGGAACACCGCAGAATAGGGGTCGAGGGCCTTGGCCATGAAGCCCCCACGATCGCAACCCGCTTCGATAGACCTCATGGAGTCGTCAGCAAGTTTTGCCCTGTGGACGTCCCGGGAGATATGGTCAGGCCCCCTTTGCTCTGGCTCGATAATTTCACCATCTTCGGGACAACTGGCATCGGTACCCACAAACCCACTGCCCTCCCTCTTCTGCCTAGCGAGTTCGAGAGAGCCAGCGGTGGCACCTGCGATTTCGCCCTCCGCTCTCTCCTGTTCGGCAATCTTCCCAGACTCGCGTGGACGAGCAGTGACATCCCAGACTGCCTCCCCCTGCTGCCTCTTTCCATTCCTCGCACAGTCACTCCACTCAGAGAGCGTATAAACCCGGCGATCCCCAGCCTTGGGCTCGTAGACCCCGCCCCGGTGGATGTCGGGGGGCACACCAGCTTTCGGCTTCTCCTCTAGGGCACCTCCTGCTCCCTGTGCCTGGCTCTTGCTTTCGCCAGTCCTTCCCCTATCATCCCCCCTAACAACACTAGGTCCCACAGACTTGGTCGCTTTCATCTCCATTTCCTCTATATCGCGCTTGTAGGTCTCGAACAGGGATGCCAACGAGTATTCCGAGATTTCTTTCATACTATATGGCCGAGATCTAACACGCCCACCACTTTTTCTAGCGGGATTGTGCACGCACGCAGGGTTGCAGATCTTGACTTTGTCACCCCCTTCTGATGTGTTAACCCAATCCTCCGGTCTACCAAGGCGATGTCCCTCCCTCCCCTGTTCAAGGCACGCCAGAACCTTCCCACGGGTACCTCCCCCCGGAGCATCTCGAGGTAAGTGGGGTCTCGAGGGGCTTGGCTGTGGCTTTAAGGCCCCCGCCCCATTTTCTATACCACTCACTTGCCCCCCCACTCCACTTAGCCCAACGTCATCCTTCTGATCTTCAATCGCAGGGTGGAGAACCGCACCATCAAACTTGAGAAACTCTGCTTCCGCCTTATCCCAGTCCATAACATCCAGATCTTTCTCCAGCCGCTTCTTTACCGACTGAAGCTCTCTCTCCTGAGCGCTAGGTCCCATATGTATGGGATTTGTTATAGCGCGCTCGGCCGTGGTGGAGGAGTCTCCCCCATCAACAACTCCGACGAGCTTCCCCCATGGCATTTCTGGAAGAGGATCAAAAAGATCTACATCATATCCCTCTTGACGGTCGTGAAGTGAGGTACTATTCGCACCACATCCTCTAAGGAATAAATCGATTTCCTCATTGACCCGCTCAAGCTCGTCCCCAGTTCTGTGGCCACCTCGCTCACCATCCGGGTGCTCTAGACACTTATTTTCTCCCAAATCAACCTGGACCTCTCGAATCGAGCTGTAACCCCCTCCCCCAACTCCCTGCAGAGGACTCGAGGGTTTAGAATATATCTCCCCCGATCCGACTCCGGCTGCAACAAGTTCGCTAGCAGCCAATCCTCGGTGGCCCTCCCCAACTCTCTCTCCCAGCCCGCGCCAATCGGGAAGATGATTATTCTTTTTCATGATGACACCGCCCTTGTCATAACCCACTCTCTTTTTGTTTGCCACTTCCTCATCGTGGAGTCTCAGGGATTTCTTAGTAGGCAACGCACCCCTAGAGTGAATCTCAGATTCTTTCCTTGGCCTCCCCAGAACCTTAGTAGCTCCTTTGAGTTTCTTCCCGTTTCCTTGCCCTGAGTGGGGTCCGAAGTCGTCGAAAAGTGAATCTCTAGAAACCGGAAATCCGGATGTTTTCCGAGAACCCTTTTGTCCCGCAATCTCGTCATTGGTGTTTTCCTCGAATCGGTACTTTCTCTTTCGCCCATTGCGTTGCCTCTTTCCCTCTTCGCGGGTTGGCTGTGAGTCGCCGGTTCCCCTTTTCTCATGTTGGGAGTTTTTATACGCAGCCAGGGACTTCTTAGTTTCACCAAATTGGCTCCTCCTCCCTTGTTCTGTCACGGCTTTTGAGTTGCCGAAGAGTGAATCACTGTCCGACGCTGGCTCGGATCCTGTTGACTCGGCGAGTTCGCCACCTGTGTTTTCTTCAAACGATGACTTGCGCGTCTCACCTTGGTTCTGGCTCTTGTCCCCCGTTTCAGACGTTGCCTGCAACCTTCCACATTTCCTTTTCCCTGGCCGTGGGATTGCAGGCTTGCCCACTTCTATCGAATCAACTCCCGACATTTTCTCAGACTCGTCAAAGAGAGAATTCCACCCCTCGGATTCTTCTTGTAGCTCTTCTCTAAGCAATGACATCTTTCTCTCGACTTCATCGCTACTAGAAATCTCCGGGGGCCCCTCATTTTCACTTTCTGCAATCCGTGCAATGGCTTTCGGCTTTGCTGTTTTTTTCTCCACACCAATTTTAGCCTTCTCCCTCGAACGAACAACCCCCCAAACCCTCTCCATAATCTCACGCTCCTGTTTCTTCAGGCGTAACTGCTCACGGAGCTTTTCAGCTTCAGCATTAATTCTGGCAAGTGCGACAAGATGTGGAGCCCTCTTAGCCGCGATCTCAGCCACCCGTTCCGCTGTTTTTGCCTCATAAGAGGCGGTCCTTTCCTGCTTTCTCTGCTGGGTGGATTCGGTCTTCTGGGCAGCAGATCTCCGACCGGTAGATGAAGCGCAAACAATCGTATCAGCTCTCGCCCTAGCCTTTCCCACTTCTTTGTTAGCACAAGACCTTCCGGTGACCTTGGAAGCCTTGCTAGGGAGAGGGGTATAATCATCCCCGGAATCTTCCTCAGATGGTCTAGGACTACATCCACCACCTACAGGGCTCTCAACAAAAGATGCCCGGCCACTAGGAATGGATATGTTAGAGCTTGGGTCAACCTTAGCCCCTCTTCTGTTTCTACTCGGGCCACGGGGGGAATAGTCCTCCAGGTCAACCAAGGACTCAACATCATCAGCAGGCCCCATCAATCTAGCAACCTTTTTTGCAGGTTTATTATTTTTATTAATTTTGGGGCGGTACTCCCGATCCCAATCATCTTCGGTGTCGGGGTCAACATCAGTGATGTTCTCTGGTGAGCGGAGGATCACAAATTCAGCTTTACGGCTGGTTTTGAGCCCGCTTGAGCAGGCAATAGCACCTCGCGAGCCCACTCCGCCACGACGATAGAATGGCATTTTTGCCGAGTACAAGGGGCGCAAGTTGTGAATGCGATGAAAGGGGGAATGTTCGGAAAGTGGAGGAGGGAGAGGAGGGGAGGTATAAGTTGGTAAGGTATTTTAGCACCGTATTTTATCTAAAAATTCGCAACAGATTAGCCTCAAGATTTTACTCTCTCCAGAAAGCAATGCTCTTAGAGAGTTAAATGCGGCTTACACCTGAAGACTTTTTCCCACGCCCCACGCGGTTGAGGCGAATATGTTTTTTGAGGAACTGGTTGATGTGTTGGCTTGCCGTTAAGTCCGTAGCTTGAGTGAGAAGTATTTATCTTACCTCAGGACTTAAAAGGAAAGGCTGGGAGGTTGAGCGGGAGAAATGAGGGAGGGTGATGGAGGGAGGGTGTTGGAGGGAGGGAGGGAGGGGAGCAGAGGATAGAGGGTAACACGCCGGAAGGAAGGTGCGGGGCACGTACGCGTCCATTGGGTCAATGACCCGCCACGAAACAGAGGCGGAAAATTACTCTTTTATCCCCCCGGAAGACTTCATGCTCAATGGAGTTCCACACTTGCATCTCACGTCCCTCAGCCAATCTTTCTCCTAGGGTTGATGGATCCGAGTGAGATCACATGATCTTGATAGATTCTAAGCATCTAAGAGCTGGAGCAAGTTTTCCGCCTTTCGAGAGAAAAGCTTCTCCCTATCAGGGCAATACTGCTATTTGAAAAAAAACCGCCTTCTACAAACCTACTTGCCAATAATAAAACTGTAACTCAGGCATGAACCAACCAAACCAGCCAACCTCCACCATACCAGTACGCCAGCACGAAAGCGAGCACATAGAGCAATCCCTCTCACACAACACCGGGAACTCCCACTCCTACAAAGTATCATACTCCATAACACCGCAAAGCAAAACTCACAGACACCGCAAAGGCTTAAGGGAGAAGAGACGAACAGCCATTAACCGACTTAGATGCTACCCACATGACCGTCTACATGTCTATGATAATTATTATAAGCTTTTTTTTCTTCTTTTTTTTCTTTTTCCAAATCCTCTATTGATTGAACCCTGCTTCCTAAATTGACCTAAATATTACTATACAGCGCTATACCGCACTTGTACAACCACCTTACTACTCCGTGTTGCAGGCGCACTATATGCCACAGCTGAATTGAAATAAATCGTTGAAACATCCCACTATGTCTGTGGGGGCCCCGGTGATATGTTAACGCCCATGTATGATACTTTACAATTATCCAAAGAGGGTAAAAATACCCTACCGGACCAGTTCGGACGAGCACAACCCCTTCCCTCCCCAAAAAAAATAAACAAATATCACAATCCAAACCACGTAAGACAGGACATCCAGCATCTCAAAACCCATATCCGCAATCCATCAAGGAAAATCTTTACGACCCTACAAAATCACGTATCAGTCTCCAAAACAGAATCCAGTTAGTAATAGCAAAATCGCTGGCACGGCCACCCCCCTCCCCCCTTGCTACCCCACCATGCATCCCCCACCTACGCATAAACGAAGGCAAGGGCGGAGGACCGAGTGATGGTCGAGATCAACAACAAGCCTCCCACTTTCGTATGACACCACGCCCCGCCCCGACCTTGAAAAAGCTTGTGCGAAACCACGCTCTTCGGATAACTCCCCCACGTCCTACCGATTCCACTGTGATTGCTCTGCTGGCACCTGGGCTTGTTATGGAGCGTTTTGGTCGGGGGGGGGGGGGGTGAAACCTATCCCAGTATGGGACACACCTAGCACACAGAATATATAGCGTGATAGGTGTAAACATGAGTATGAGAAACCGGGCTGGTAGATGGGGACACAAATTCAAAAGCCAAAAAAAAAAAAATTTATTCGGTTCTTCAGAATCCCACCGCATCCGCACAAACAGGAAAGAAAGCAAGAAAGAAGCGCAAACCCAAAACCTAAGCCGAAAAAAATGCTATATTATCATACACAACCTATCATACCCCCCACCTACATTACCAATCAATCCCAAACCACCCCCTCCCATCATCAACATTAACCCACCCCTCCTCCTCCACCGCCGTTTGCCAGCCCATGATGACCGCCAAAACCCTACACGTATTCCCATTCCCGCCGCAGAAGAGCCCGCTAGCGGTCTCGCCAAGGATCTTGACGTCGCGGAAGTACTCCCTGGCCAGGTCGGTCACCGCTTCGCTCCCGCTAGCACGCGCGTTCTCAAAGGTCTGTCTGGTCCAGCCGCCGGGCAGTCGACTGCGGGTGGTTGGCGAGGAAGGTACTGGTTGAGCGGGAGTATAATTCACGAATTCCGGGAGGGAGTAGATTGCCGGATCGTCAGATGATATGAGGACGGTGGTGTTGCCCCCGGCGGCAGCGGAAGCAGCAGATATCAAGTCTGCATAGCGAGACACAGGCACGTGCCCTGTCCCCCTCCATTCGAAAGCTTTATCCTTACCATCACCCCGGCGAATTTGCACCGCTAGCACTTTCTCGTTGCCGCGTTCTTCTTTCACCTGCTTCTTCCGCACCTCAACAGCCTCCTCATCGGCCGGTGACAGGCGCAGTCTGAACAGCGATTCATACCCACTCCTTGCAAGCGCGAAGATCTTGTGCTGCCGCTGGACTCTCATTTTCCTCGCATCTTCAAAGAAGTCCGTGAACGCGTGGCCGAATGTTGCGCTTGTGGTTGAGTGTGCCACGAGCAGGTGCGGGACCTGGTTCAAGCAGGGGATGACAAGGTTAGGTGGTGGAGGGCGGCAGGTGGGTTTTTTCGGGAGGAAGTAGGTGGCATAAGTTCCCCAGGACCTATCCATCCGTCATTAATAAGCCGCGCCGAGGAGAAAGACGAGAGAGAGTTAACCAATTACTATCGTCTACAAAAAACGTCCTGTTCTCACTCATCGCCAAACCGTACGCGCTCCACAAACCTAGCAACATTCCCCCAAGTCCCGGGTCCGAAGAGTCAAGCATGTACGTCAAGCTCCTTTCACAAACTCCCCTCAGAGCCGCTTCGTCCTCCACCCTGGGATTCAAAAAGTGCTCGTCGACCCAGTAATACCCATGATGCGCATGTCTCCCGTGTCCTGCAGCGACATCACTCGCCCGTCTAGCGGCACGGCACATCTCACTGTACACATGCGGCCGCAGCAGACCGCCAAGATTTGCGGGCAACTTCCACGTCCATTTCTGGTTCCCCTCACCGTAGTCCAGCAGGGTGGGTTCCACGCTCGTTATGCTCGCCGGGTCGATCTTGCTAGGCTTCGGAGAGGCGGAGGGTTGGAATACCAGGAGGAGCCAGGCCATGGTTGAGAGGGTGATCGCGATCAGGAATACCCTCCCGCGGGTCAGCCCCGGACTCGCACGCCGCAACTTGTCATCCTTCTCGCGCTGCCGGAGGAAGGGCTCCTCGGCTGCGCTGCGGTAGCGAGGGTTTGTTTGTGATGGGGAAGGCATTGAGACCGGCTCTGCTATTGTGGTGGTGGTAATGGTGAGGCGAGTACGGTAGGCGAGTGAGTGTGGGAGGGAGAGTGTTGGAAGTTAAGTTGAAGGTCGATGGAATTTGTAGTGAAGTTCGCTCGCGTTACACGAGGCGGGTGGACTGGCTGACAGGGGTTCGAAACTTGATGGATGATGATACACTACGCTCCGCCTATGTGAAACGGGCGTTTGAGCATTTTCTCCTTCTTCCTTCGTTCTAGTTACCGTTCTGGGGAATTTGGCAGTTGCTACTCGTAGAATACTTAGTGGGAGCAGAGGTGTCACAGCATTGCACGCTTATTGTTACTTCTGTAAAGTACTCAAGTATCGTAACCAGCCATGAAGTCTCACGCCGCCAGCCAATGATCAAACACGCATCCCTAAACCCGCCCCCAGATAACGTGACCAGGCGATTGTTCCTTCGATCACAAGAAACTCTACTCGGGTACGGTAGTCTACACACACAGACCACGGAGCTAAAAGCACAGCTAGAATAGTACAGTACACGCACCAAACTCAAGTACTCGTACCGTACCCTAACCAGCACGACAATCCGATTCAGGATATGCACAGTATAAGCACCTCTCGCACCAAGAAGCCCGCGAACAAGAGCCAAAACCATAGCCCCAACCCACCGCGCAAGCTAACCAAGGAAGCTCCTCGCGAGGGATCACAGTATCATACTTAACCACACCGCCTTGCGGTGCACGGAAGAACTTCAACCTTATGCCTTCCATCACTAGCTAACGAATGACCCACTCACACCCATCCAATAAGCAATAGCTAACAGCCAATCCCGCCTTCCCACGAGAACCAAACAAACAAAGCTTAACAGAACCCCCCACAATCACAGATAATCACTGAAATTAAGCAGCGCAGCATAAATAATCACTCGGAGACGCCCTACCACACTCTATAAGATCAACCAACTATGCGCAGATTTTCTATAATAGATGAGCGTTACCGTGAATACTCGAATAGAGGATAAATGTGCGAGGACGCTGAAATTTTCCTTCTTGGCTTTGGGAGGGGGGACACCGCAGACTCAGCCTTCAATCGAGACAAAGAAAAAGGGGTATAAACGCAATACCGGAAGAGGCAGCTACTCAAACACAACGTCCTAGCACATGAATCTTCTATCCAAGTTTTTACGGTATGATGCAGTGATTACACACCATAGTCACCCCCTTCCTGCTCCCCCACCTAACTATGGCCAAAAAACATTCCATTCCAAACCCCGGTGAGGCAACTGTGCTCCTCCCATAAGAGCTAAATTTAACACCTTTTCCCCACCTTTTCGCTGCAAATCGCTCATTCGTTCCAGTAAACGTTTCCACATCTGCAAAGTTGACCTTCTGCACCGATTCCTGTGCTCCGGGGGTATAGCTCGACGCAACGTTAGGGCGAAACGGGAGCGTGCCGTCTTGGTAGGTTTCACTGAATGTCTCGCTAAGCAGGGGGTCCGAGTCACCGGGCTTGTCCCGCTCCGTTTCACTATTCGGTGAAGTGGACGAGGTGGGAGTGTGGAAGCATAACTCTTCAATAGGGAACGGCGGATGCAAGCAGGGGCGGGCACCGGATTCGCAGGAGAAAGAGAAAACTGCGGCACCGTTTTGGGCTTTGGGGACGGGAAAAGAGCGGGAGACGATCGTCAGGGTTCCTGACTCCATCAACCATTCTAGGGTACTAATTCCCCGCCCGGTTGGAGTAAGAGTATGATACAAGTGATAGTGGTGACGGCAGAACGTATCAATTCCTCCCACCTTCCGTAAGCCTTCCCAGCTAACCTCACCAGCGAAAACTCCTCCCGCACTAACGTCCCCGCTACGCTAGAGGTTCTCCAGACTGGAGAAGATGTGTCGCATCAAAGCATTATAGCATTGCGGAAACGCTGCTCGCGCGTTGGCAATGAATTATGGAGGATATCCGGAAGCATAGACTCCCCGGTACCCACCACGACTCTTGAAGAACACGGATTCTGGTGGTGGTGGTTTGGCAGCTGGTCTTGCGGGGGATTGGTTGTAAACGGTGGCCTAATCCCGCTGGTCGGGTGTAGTCTAGTAATATATGGCACAGCACACATCCTGCAGCACCAAGGCAGCTCTATGCCGTGACGGGTCTGACATGACGTTCTTTGAGAGGATGGGAGAGCGGTACATGTGCGGTGGGCTCGCCATCGCAAAACCAGACGGCTACGGGGGCAACCTGAACCCTAGGGGCCGGCGTAAGGTGAAACTTTGAGGCTTGATAGATTGATATTGTAACCTGGGGAATTGCACTCGAGCACCGTACCGTAATGATACCAGAGTAGATATGGTAGACGGGCAAGATGACGTTCCTGCCAAGAGATCCCTCCACAGGCTTAAAAAAAGAACATTGCAAGGATTGGTTCAGGCACCGCAAAACTATGGTATCATACTGTACTTGTTCCCATCCCATGCCATACCCATCTCGTTTACCATGCAGTAGAGTTCCAAAATACCGGTATCATAGCAGTCGAGTGCTTTCTCCAGAGTTTAACCTTTCTTGGGGGTTTGGTGCCGCATGTTGGGGTCCTTCCTCACACCTTTACAATATTTCTACCGTAGGACACGCACGGTAGCACCTCTGAGATGAGAACTCGATGGATAAATTCGCTGAAAAACAGCCTCGGATCTTGAACCCTGGTCAGTCGGAAATCCGCGCTTTTTCATTCATTCATCGCGGCAGTCTGGCCACTTCTGCAGCGGGGTCTGATTACGGTACGGTACTGGTACGAGTACAGTACTGTAACTGCCGCTCCAAATTTCCACTGGAGCGCGACGGTTGTTGGTGGTGTCGAGCAGGGTAGGATATCACAAAATTGAAAATGTGGCTATTGATTGGAACTCGGGTGGGGGGAAGATGGACGGGGGTGATGAGGGGAAGAAAAGGATGGCCGGCCATTTGATGACGCTACTGTATCATAGCTTAGCCTGAATTCTGGGGCACTGTGGTGAATACCAGTACGGTAGTACTCGCGATACCGCTTAAGCGTATTTACAGTACCCGAGTAAGGTATGGGGGGGAAAAGGATTCCAACATCGGCTGAACAGCCACCTGCCACCGCCTTGCCGCCAGCATACTGTACTCGTTACTCGAGTACTCGAGTAACTTGCTGCATCCTTCCTGCAGATGAATCACCGGGATCACTCGGTTCGCAATTTCTCTCCTCACCCCTCGGATTCTTATCGCGCCGGCCAACTTGACACAAGTTACCTCGTCATTCCTGCCTCCACACAGTGCTCGTATCGTATGACACGGGTGTATCATACGAGGCCTACCTTACATTACGGTGCGAGTACAGTATTGCATGGCGGGTTCTGGTGGCTGCAAGTAAGTCATTCAATATTCACTTCCCTCACTCACTCCCAGCCACGCACAGACATCTTATATCAGCAGGAGCAAATTGAGACCGACCAAGCAAAGCTGAAAGCCACACACCTTTTCCTTCCAAAAGTACTATATAAGAAAAAAGAAAGAAAGCGACATCACACCGATTGTCCCACTCAACCTCAATTTTCCTTCCCACAATAAATGCACAAAGAGCGACAACGAGAGATTCGGGGGAGGAAGAAGAAAAAATGCACAAAAGTACAAGTAACGCTGCATAGCAATTAAAATTCAATCTAAAGTATTGTACGGTATGGGAAGAGGCAAATCTGATTGGGGAGAGAGGGTGGGAAAATGCAGTACTTGACTTCGATATTATGATACCGGCACTGATCACTGGTGGGTGAGTTACGGCATGGTACCGCACATCTCTACCGTGTAGAGGAGGAATCAATGGCCGGCAACGAGCGGGTCCGCTGGCTTTCTGTTGGGCCAAGTGGGATCGAAGATGGTTCGAATCCCGCCTGCTCTGGGACCTCTCTCCTTGACATCAGCATGCTCGAAGTGATAACTTTACGGTAGTCTAACCGTGATGCAAAAGGGATGAACAAAGTCGAAGACTCAAAGTCGAGTCGTCAATCTATGATTCCCCTAACCCACGGGAGAGCAGTTATGGGCTTGGACTTGTACGAGCACAAGTACCGGTGATGTGGTGGAGCGCGGTGGGAGGCGCATGCTGTACGAGTACCGCAACCAACTCCAACTCCAACTACTCGAGTAGCAAAACAAGTGCTGTCTTCCCTGTCCGCAAGCGACATGAGAGTCAACCGAGAGAGACCAGAGCATCGCAAGGGAATGTCCGGCGAGCTTCTCATGTCATCAATGGCTCGAGTATGGAAGGAAACCTAACCCACGCGCGCACCGCCATTCTCCAATCCCAAATAAGGCTTCATCTACTTGTACGAGTACTCTCCTGCAGCAAATTTACCGGTTAACTTAACCCCAAAGTCCTCCTCACTCGCACCTCCCCTCCCCCCCATCCCAGACTCTCCATTCACCCATCCAACCCTCAGCCACCCCACCCAACCAAACCCGGTCACCACCCCGAAAATCCGACCGACCAAAAAAAGCCTTTATGAGAGAAAAGCCCGCGATCCAATCCCATTTCACGCATCTCCATCGCAAGCACTTTCCCGTTTTCGGACCCCAACTAACCACATTCACTGAACAGGGATAACAAATGCGGACTTCCGCCCCCCTTTTGCCTGCCGCTCCGGGTATCGGTGGGCGTGTGTTGTGCGTGCCTGTGTGTAGCGGTGTTGCGATAAGTTAGCGATGTCATAGTTACCGCTTTCCTTTGCTCTGGTTTTTACTTGTGGCGGTGGGTTTGTGGTCGCTCTTGTGCTGGTGGTGTGAGGGCTTTGCCACGGGGATGCTTGTATATGATAGCTTTTTTCTTACTCTTTCTTTCCCTTTCCATCCCTTTCTGGTGGTGCTTTGCGCCTCTATTCGTAGTCTAAGGGGGTGATGGATGATGGGGGATCCGTAGGGTGGTTTAAGGTACGGGTACGGGGGGGCAATCGTGCGAAGCTGTGCTGTGCCTATGATAGCTTTCTCCTCTTAACTACCCGTATGTACGATTAAGTACTAATCATGCTTACTTGCCATGCTGTACTCTAGCCTCGACCTGAGCAGACTGACTTGCATGCCCTATGATGGGATTGTACTCGTACAAGTACCAAGTAGACCACCGGTACTCGAGTACCGGTATGGCGCAAGGATACCGGTAGGGTGAGGTTGACGGTAATCAACTCTCTTTCTTGCTTTTTTTCCTTTTCATGTGGGTTATGGGTGTGGAGTGCGGAGTGTGGAGTGGATGTGGATGGTGGATGGTGGATGAACTGTGGGGTTGAGTGGGAAGGGCTACGCAGAAAGGGAGAAAGGGGGGGGAGGGAGAAAAGGAAAGGGGGAAGGAAAAGAGGCTGCAACTGGAGTACCGGTAACCTTTGCTGTGCTGTACCACAATTTGTACTTCCATACCTTGACACTCGTACAAGTATAGTACTTGTAGAGTAACTTAGAGAGGGAGATGGTTTGTTGGGTGAGACATCACAGTACCGTGACCGAGAGCAGCAGCGAGCATCCGGTAGCGCAAGCCATCCATCGTGGTTGAATCGGAAGGGATCTACAAGTACTCGAGTAAACATTCCAATACTGAGTACCGGTACGGTACTCGAGCACAAGTACGATAGGAGCTGCACCTGCTGGCTCACACATTGCTAACCGCTTCTTTTAAAATAATTCCAGTAAATTGCGTGCAGAATAATCGGTACGCATTGTCAGGTTATGATAGCCTTGTAGCGGTATCATGATTACGGTACCTTATCACTTCGAGATGTTTCATTACTATTTACCGCATGTTGCGCTTATTTAAGGTTGGCTCAACTGAGGATTGGGTGGGAAAGAGAGAATCCACGGGAATGGGAGGGAAGTCGTGTGTGTGCTCGAGGTATGATACTCGGACAGTAATACAGCGCGGGTACTGGGGGAAACAAGGGGAGGGAATGGAGGAAAAAGAAAAAAGGAAAAAATATACTCGCCCATAACTCTACGAGTACCGTAGTGAGGGAGAGAGGAAGAAGGAGAGGGGGAGAGGGAGGGAGAGGGAGAGAGAAGTGTGGTTTTTGTATGGTTAAAAGGATATTGATGGGTTCTGATGCCGGTACGGTAATACAGCTACAGCATTGCTGGGGCCAGGCGGGTCGATGATCAGCCCCAGAGAGGCACAGTCATCCGACCGACCAAACAGGAACGCTGCTCACCAAGACAGGCCTCCATTTCCCCCCTGCCGGGACTCCCTCGATTATCCGCAACACCTCCACTCCAGCCTCTCTCCGCTCCACACTCCACATTCCACCCTCCACACTCCTCTGCCACCACACATCCCTTCCACACATCTGCCACTCAGCTCCCGGAACCGACGAACTAGAGAGACTACATGTCCGTGGCTGTCTGGCCAATTTTGATCTTCATGACCTTGTAACCCAACCTGTGAGCAACACCGGGGCCAGACCCCAAAAATGCGAGGCTGAGAAAAAGCAGAGCTGATGGATTGTTAACGAGCAGTGGGCGAACGAGAGAGGACAGCAAGCAGCCACAATCACGAAAGCCCACCAGAAGGACTTCCGAAAGCCCATCCTCTTCCCTCTTCAACTACTACTAACTGACAACTACTTACACTGCCAACGCCTTTTGCCAGGAGATCGGCCTCTATTTTTGAGAAAGAAAAAAAAGAGAGAGGGAGAGAAAGAGGATTATCATCAGAAATTATCACGACAACAAAAAAAAACTTACGTCCACCCCTTTCTGCCCAAGGAATTCGTTTCCTTTCCTACCGGTACCCACCCACCACCAGCTTTCCCTTCCAACCCCCCCCTCCCTTCAGAATCCTACCGGTAACTCCAACGCGAGACCTTTCCCGTAACTTCAGTTGTCGTTGAGAGAATTGTCCAAGGGGGTCCTTTCTACGGTCGCGATTGAATCAATCCATCTCTCCCACCATCCACTGGCACCATCCACTTTTCCCCCTCCACTATCCACAATCCCATCCGCACTCCCCGCAGGCGGAGCCACCACAGTTCGAGTTCACGCCTTCCATCACTTATCGCCTCAACAACCCCGGATCAGACAACCACATTGCGAGAGGGAAAAAAATATAAAACGTGCGCTCATAATTGAAAAGCTTAAAGGGAGAGCTGGACTAGAAGGGGGAACGGAAGAAGGGGAAGAAGAAAAATCCAAGGGGAATTTTTTTTCCTTCTCGTTCATAACTCTCGAAAGAAGAAAAAAAAAACATTTTATTTGTTTTTCTCCTTGAACTCGACGAGCGCTCATTAAGGGAATCACTCTTTGTATACCGTGCTTTTGATCTCTGTTGTCGCCTTGATCTGCCGACTATTCCGACCGTGGTCGCGACAACCACTCGTTGTTCTTGGTCGAGTTGCGAGCCGGAGAATGCTCTACCAGCCATATTCTTACATCCCACGATAGCACAGCGAGAGCAACCGCATTACGGCGACAGCGGAAGCAGCAACAATAACAGCAGCAGCGACTAAACCAACTATTTACAATTCCAATCGAGAAACCCAACAAACTTAACTTGTGAAAACTTCGAAGGGGGAAAAGGAAAAAGGAATTGGTTGATTGGTTCACAGCCGTTATTGCTTTTTATTTCCTTTTTTTTTACTACTTGACTTTTTGAAAAGAGGGAAAGGAGAGGATAGGGAAAAAAAGAGTCATCATAGAAATCTAGGGAAGGAAGGAGAGTGAGGAGAGTGAGAGTGGAGAGAGGAGGAAGGAAAAAACAAAAAAACGGTAAGTGCATTTGCATTCCTGCGTTATTCAGCTCTACTGCATTCAGCCCCTCTTCCTCCCTGCTCTGCCCTTTTTTTTTGTAGGGGGGTATATTGAAGAGAGAAGCTGGAGAGAGTGAGAGCAGAGTGAGAGTGAGGTGGTTAGAGGTCGAAGCTGGGTCAAAAAGTACTCGAGTACATACGACACATGCAGCTTTTTGGTCTGCCGCTGCTGCGCCTCACCTCTTTAACTGCCTTTATTATTATTATTATTATTATTATTATTATTATTATTGCCATTCAATTTCCAATCAGCATGAACTGGTTCCTCGATTTGGCGACAAATTCTTCACACTTGCCATTCTGTCTGTTTATATGCCAATTCTTATATGTTTCGATTTTTGATTTTTTTTGATTTTTTTTTTAATTTTTTTTTTCCGTCAAATTTTTGTTATCATTACCGGTATTGTTTTGGCATGGTACCTGGCAGAATTTCTGTTGTGCCCTTTTTTGGTTCTTCTAATCATTCTGCCTTACCGGACCATCATTACTCGTTTCTTCCACTACGCCCCTCCCCCTTTCATTATTTTCTCTTACCCTGCAGTGTTCTTCTGTATCATTTGCTCATACGAATCGGTTGCTTTTTTCCCCGGCCCTGTGGATGTGGATGTGGATGATGATGATGATGGATGATGAGGCTGACCCTACTATTGTCTCGTTTCCCCTCTACCAGATACTACCAGCCGTACTGTTTCCCCCACCCCTTTTTTTATTTCACTGGAAAGAAAAATAAAATAAAACCATTAGGTTCTATTTTGCTTGGCCTCCAGGCTGCAATATACCCCATCTCCTTCGAGACAATACGAAACACGGCAATTCTAAAGGAGAAACCTTTTTCCTTTAGAATTTTTTTTTGTGTCGTTGCCTGCCTACCGAAACTCGTGATCAATACCAGCTGAATATCATATCGTCAAGAGCAACCCGGAATTATTCCTTATCTGGGTTTCTTCTCACACCCCCCCCGCGCAACTATCTCGACCACTGAGAATCGTTCGGCTCATCCATCCATCTTATCTTGGCATCGTTTTGGGGATTAAGTGACAGTTCCCGGCGAATACAAAAGAAAAGAAAGAAAGGAATAGAGGGGGAAGAAAAGGCTGAGGCGTGATCCGTCTGTATATCTTTGGCGGGGAGAAGAAAAAAAAGGTAGTTACCTTACTTTCCTTTTCGGAGGGTTTTCTCTGTTTTGCTTTTCGGCCCGAAAGGCTAATAATAACCAGCGAACCAGGGACCGGATCTTTCCTTCCCAACCTTGAGACTCAACATTCGATTCAACGGGGCAACGGTTGGAAAGGAAGAAAGTCCCAAACATTCACCCATTATTCATAACGGGGAGCCTTGTAATTCAACTGATATAATCCTTTTCTTTTTCTTTTTCCTTTCTTTTTTCTGCCATTGTTTTCATTCTCCCTAGGGATTTAGTTCGTTTCTTTTCGGCTTTTCATTTCGACTGGTTAGGACTAGACTACAGACAACCGGAGCGTCTGTCTTGGTGGTTACTCAAGGGACCACTCCGTGGTACTGTACGGGGTAACACGCTTTATAGGGCTGTCGTTCGGCCGACAGGTTGTACTAAGAAAATACATTATATATTGGTAGGTACGATCTGAACCCGCTTATTCTTAGTTCCTCTCCTGAACGATCTACATTGCTCCTACGCCTTTATTTCTTATTTACTTTTCCTTCTTACCTTATTCTTATTCTTATCCTGGCGGGCTGGCTCCGGGGGACCCTTCCTCAGCGAACATTGCTTGATCCAACATACTTTCTTTTTCCCAAACCTCTTCTGCCTTGCTTTTTTATCTTACGCAAACTAATCCATTCGATCCAAGGGAAAACGGGCTACACAATACTCTTGTTATGGCATCCCAATTTTCAGGCACGAACGGGACCGATATTAAAACCTCCGCTGCTCCCGCCGGATCATCAAAAACCCTACCACCATTATCCACAAAATCCCCAACCCTAACGCCTCAAGGACAACTCACTGGAGCAGCAATATTAAACCGACAACGAAGCACCTCACCAAAGACCATGTCAACGGAACACAAGAACACTCCCACCACAACCACCACCACCCCCGCCGCCAACGAACTGCCAAAACAGTCGCCGAATCCCGCAGCACTTCTAACTGCTGGTTTTGGGATGAGTGCTCCCACGGATGTACCTAAGGAGGAGCCTACTCCCTCCCGGGAACTAGGCAGTCTACCCGGCGTTGCGGCAGCAGCTGCAGCAATGGAAGAGCGCGAGTCCCCGACAGCAACCACTATGTCAGGAACAGACAGTGCGGGTCTTACTACAGCAGCACCACCACAGGTCACTACCCCACTTTTGCTACAAGAGCAGTACCCACCACTCCAACCTCAACCTCCTCCACAAACCCAGACGCAGCAACCGCGGGATCAAAAAGACACGGGCACTCCCGGAACCTCACAATACGGCCATAATCCGACCACGCCGGTAACCCCCTTCAGCCCCTCCGGCTCCAGCGCTGGTGCCCGGGGAAAGCATACCTGTTCACATTGCCTGAAGACGTTCACGCGCCACCACAATCTCAAATCACACCTGCTCACACACGCTCACGAGAAGCCATACCTGTGTACAACCTGCCAAGCGCGTTTCCGCCGCCTGCACGATCTAAAGCGGCATTCGAAGCTTCATACCGGCGAGCGACCGCACGTGTGCAACAAATGTGGGCGGAGGTTCGCCCGTGGGGATGCGTTGGCGAGACATGCCAGGGGTGAAGGCGGATGCGCGGGGAGGAGAGGGAGTATGAGTGGGTTGAATGAGGATGGGAGTATGGGCGTTGGTGGGGAGCGTGAAGATGACATTGGTGATTTGGAGGGCTTGATGGATGATCCGGATGGGGATGTTATGATGGATGATGTTGGGTCTCCTGCCGGGACGGGCGGTAATGCGGCCGCAGGGGGAGGAAGACGCAGACAGTCACTACCCTCCCTCCGCACAGATCTACCAAATACCCCTATGACTCCCGCGAGCGCATATACCACCGCTGCGACACCTCTGAACCCGAACAGCAGCACATCGACTGCCTCCTCTTCAGCAACTCTAACAGGCCGCCACCCCCATCACCTTCACCACCACCACCCACACCATCATCCGCACCACAACACGTACCCGCCGCCTAGCGCCCGCTCTTTAGCTGCCGTCTCGGCAACTACAAATCCCCAATCAGCTACGTCCACTACTTCATCCTCAACCCCCGGCCAAACCGCACTCTCGGCATCAGCCCCCAGCCCCCCACTCTTTTCTTCTGGCATCTCTTTCAACAGGACTCCCGCTCCCGTCACAACTCCTACCCCTTCTTCAGCCACTGCCGCTCCCACCACCACCGCCGCTACCGCCACCAGCAACACGGTGCTCTCCCCAGCAGGCGTACTCACCGATTCTCCAGGAGCAGTAAGCCCCGGAATGACACGTGAGCGCACGCCAAGCTTTACTAGTTCGGGAGGTTTCCTGTCGCCGCCGGGACCGGTCATGGCGAGTTCTGGTGCAGCAGGCGGGAGGACAAGCGGGACAGGGACGGCAGGCGGAGGTGTGGGGAGCAGTAATGTTTTTGCGTCGGGGATGGACGGTGTGTGGGCTTATATCCGTACTTTGGAAGATAGGATCCGGGTGTTGGAGGAGAGGGCTGGAAGTAGAGAATAGGCACGTGAATATGCGGGCATGCGGGGTGATAAGGGAAGGGATAAAAGTGACTTTTTTTACATTATTTTCTTTTTACATTTTATTTTTTTACTTTACTTCGGTCTGGATGGATCGGTGGATCGATGGATCCTTTTCTCCTTCCCGTTTTCTATTTCTTCGGTTTCGAAAGTAGTTTTGTTTCGACCTCTTTTCTCTTTACTTGTTATTTTGTCTTGTTTGTTGTTTGTTTGGATATAGTTAGTCTCCCTCTCCTAACCCTTCATCTCTCCCTCTCCATGAACGATTCACGATAACTGACTGATTTACTGGTTGATTGACGCACGGAAGACTTCTACTACTGTTATTTATCACCGTTTGTACTTAGTTACTGACGCAGCGTATGGAAGTTTTTTTTGGGGGGGGTTCGATCCCTATGGTTTTTTTTTTTCCTTGGTTGGTGGTGGTAGTTAGGTTGTCGTATGAATACTGAGTTTTACTATTATGGATGCGAGAACGAGGGATTGGGGGGTGGGGAGGGGGAGCTGTGTATGCTAAAGAAAAGGAAAGTTCAAGGCAAGTGGTGGCTTTGATATTCTGTCGTTTGTTGTGGTCCGAAAGGGTTGGAGACTATGGAAGCACCTGCATTCCTGCTTCAGTTGTGGGTTCGGCGCAGGATTGGCTTTTCTTGTATATTACTGGTACATCAAACCGAGCTTTCCTTCGTTCGTTCAAAGTTAGCCTTCAACTTTAGTTACCGGTGGTGGTGCAGCACACGCTACGACACTCATCAGGCGACCAGACATGGCCACTACATTACTCGAGTATAGTATATACTACCCCACACAACAATCACCGGACCCCTCTCCTCGCTCGAGCCTCACCGTTTTTTTTTTTCTCTCCGGCACTGTGGCGCCCTTGCGCACGCCCTCCGCCCGCCCGCCTCTCCCGCCCGCCACATTATTTAGGCAAGCATGCGCACCACATTCCAAGGACAGAACGTCAAGCAAAGCCCTGCCGAGAGATCTATCCCCCGACCCACTTCCATCCACCTTTCTAAATATATCATTAATATATATCAAAATCTTATAATAGTATCATACCCCCCACCCCACACCAAAGATCCGCACACCCACTTTCCTCCTCCGACTTTCCTCCTATTGCGCAGTGCCGCGCTATGCTGCGCTGTGCCCTTCGGCTCAGCCCCCTAATAAGGACGTTCCTGCATGTTGTCATTTAAGCTTGAAATAACGATGTGTCTACTCGCTTATGGGGGGGTGTCTCAGGGGGAGAGTTTCCGGGATGGTGAGAACATAAAGTGTCACTCGGGGGTGCCTAGTTAACCATCGGAGCTAACCAACTAACCAACTAACCAACTGACCAGCTAAGATCTGGTCTGGGGGTGGGGGAGTGAATATCAGCTGGATGGAGGGAAGGAGGTAACGAACGAATGGAGTTTTTTTTTTTTGCTCGGTCGGTTACCGGTGTCATACTGTATCATACCCGAGTATAGTACGGTAGGTTGTCTGTCGGCTATGCTTCGGATTTTATGGTGTGGGAGAGTTTTATATATCAGTCTACTCGTACTTTATCATGGCCTATTTTTTCTTTCCACCCCCCACGGATGTTCTGCCGGTAGGTGTTTTGCCCTGCTGGAGCGTGAGGGGGGAGGGAGCTGAGAGGAAATATTTAGCTGTTCTTCCTGGTTATGATACTGTATGTATGTTATGGGTGCTCTCTGTCTTGACTTTTTTTTTTTTTTTTTTTTTTGTGGGTGGGTTAGAGTAACATTTCTGGATTAACCTTCTTCGCACTTCTCATCGTCAACTTTTTCTTTTCTTTCTTTTTTCCCCTCTTGACAGGTCCGATCTGAAGGGGGCTGGGTTGTCGTTATAGTAGCCGGAGAACTCGAGCCGGGATACTGTACTATACGGTTCATGGTATGTACTCTAATGTCGAAGCGTTTTTAGAAAGACTGCTATTGCATACCACCAAAAATTGGCCTTCCCGCCCAGACCCGGGCGGTATGAAATAAGAGTTCTTTTTAAAAACGCTTCGACATTACGAGTATGTATGTATGTATGTATGTACGTATGTATGTAACATCTGGAGCTCCCAATACCACCTACACGCTAAGCACAGCACAGCACAGCATGAATGCCTTATCCTCACGGATGTACGTGTACTGTAGGCAGATTTGCCACCCACCGTCTTCGGCGTAAAAAGTGCTATGATAACTGTGTGAGAAATGATACCGGTATAGTAATTCTACTTGTTAAAATTGCTTGCTTTCAATTGTATCACCCTTCCCCCCACTCTTGAGTTCTCTCTCTCTCTCTCTCTCTGGCTTTTAATTTACAGCAATGATGTAGTTTCTCAAGCAAGATCTTTTTGGTGCAATTCTCCCCTTTTTACCATTCCCACGCTCCCCGATCACTCATCTTGCATGCGAGATACACTCCGACACCGCAAGCAGGCAGGCAGGCGGGCAGGCAGGCAGATTCAACCCAACGACCTGGTCCCATCCGATAAAGTTGACGGAAGCCAGGCACCAATATCCTCACCACCAGCACCCCTTCCACCCTGCGGTACAATCTCCGAGGAAACAAATCTCACTGGCTCACGCGTTATACGATAACCCGCATGCTGCTGAAAACCCAGAGTACCCGGCCACCCGGATTCCGAAAACCCGACCACACAAATAATTCTCCACACACAAAAGGCCAATAAGGGAAACCACCGCACAGTCAGCGTGGTGATGCGGGAAAACGCTGGGGCAGGTGAGTAAGTGCAGTTCTCAGGTCTCGGAGGCTCTCCGAGAGGGGAGGAAGGGGGCTCGGCGGCCCGTGTTCGTTGTCCTTTATTTTGTCAAACTCAGCTGATGGATCGGTGGATTCGCCACGCTTTGTTGGGTGTGGTAGCCTTTTGTGGCGGATGGATGGAGGATGGCTCAACTTGGTTAGACACGCTAAATCGGCACTTTTCATGGGATATCACTCGGAATTTGGAATGGGAGATTAGGTGGTTGGGTGTGGATTTGTGTGCGGGGCTCCAATCCAAGTGCCTCACTGGGTGGATGGATGGATGGATGGATGTGGTGGGGGGGGGCTGGGGGATTTGTGTGGTGGGTGGGCGGGGTGGTGTGTCAGCGGTGAGTTTGTGGTACAGGACAAAAGGTCCATCGGGTAACTTGGGTTCTGTGCCGAGGGTTTTTGTAGTGTATGGGTTGGATCATTTGGATATGGGCTGCGATGGGTGCTGGGTTGTTATGGATTTCACTTCCCGTTATGATACCGCTGCAAGCCCGGGGTATCATATGTGATGTCGGGAACTTGGTGGAGGGCAAGTTATGGTGAAGGCTATCGGTAGGTTGGGTTAGGTTAGATTAAGGGGGATCATGCGTGAGAATGAGAGCGTCCAAAAACCACCAGATATGTTGGCAGGCCGAGTGATGGATGGTGGTGTTCCCGCAAGTCGAGTTATCCCTGCCGGGGTGAAGGTGAACTTTCTTTCCGCACGAGTATACTTGGCGGATGTCAGCCAGTAGTATTGCCACCGACCGGTCCAACTGTAAGAGATTGTCATATCGGCTAGTTTGATTACACCCTAGAGGAATATCAGCCACGCCCAGGGCCTGAGAAATGCTCTGCAGAAGAGGTAAACCACTTGAGATACAATTGTGCAATCTCTGCTACGGGAGGATCGGGTTGCCGCCGCTCCCGCTAAGATGGAGGGAGTGGGGGATTCGGAGCTATTGTTACTTCGGGGGATATTGGTGCTGGGGGGAGGGTATACGATGGAAAGTGAAACGACGGAGGAGTGGTTTTTTCCTCTCTCTCCCTTCACTTACATTGACCTGCTGGTTCCCTCATGGCAAGTGAATAGATAGATACATACATACATAAGACCATGTATCATATCCTACCTCCTTGGCACTGTCAGGCGCCTGTGTGGCCACGGCGTAGATTACGGCTAACCTATGATATACGTGTAGTAGGTCCTGATCATGTATTTAAGGGTGCACTTTTTTTCCATAGCTCTAAACAACAACGCCCCTCCCGGCACCTGACGAGAGGAGCCTCCTAATACCAGCATACCGATAAGCGCTTTGGTAAGCTGCTGCCTGGGGATCACTTTATCTCATAGGGTGGCTCAACCAGGCGTCTTCTCGTATTCGGGGCTGGTTAGATAGCTGCGTTGGCGTTCTGTAGCTTCACTTCGTTCGCTTATCCCCTGTTCCTATTTCTCCAATATCATCTTTTATTCTCTCCTCTACCAAGGTAAAGCCTCTCTCCCTCTGATCTAATACGGAGTGCATTACTGCCGAACGTGTGGATGGATGGAATATCCCACTCAGCCAGAATTGTGATTCGTTTGGCTTTGGGTGTTTCGGCTCTGCCCGTATCCACCGGGCCAGTTCAGTGGGTGGTGTGCATTCATTCATTCATTAGCGAGTTCTTTCTTCGGGCCACAGACAACTCGGCCAGACTCGACTCGAAGTAGTAAATGGTCCGGGCTGGTTCGTTCAGCCTTGGCCAGCCCCGCCATGCATGATATAATGTGATTGGAGGCGAAGATACGAGAGAGAGGAAGGAATAAAGAAGGAAGGAAATTGAGTGAGTGAAATTCCCACCCGACGAGTGTTGATAGAGGATCGAAGTGGGATTCATACGATGTGCACATTGTTAATTTCTCCCCATTCTTCGCTGTCAGCGGGGTAGGAATAAATAGGTAAAATAACCCAGTATAATTCGGCGGTACTGAATATATTGCCGGTTTCTTTTAATACCTGCCACACCCATCCAACTGCAGAACCGGCTATTCCTGAATCCCCCAATCTCAAACAAGCAAATACCCAAACCAGCACAATCCAATCCACAACCTCCCGACCGAGGAAGCCCCTCCCTCCAAAAAAGAAACGAAAAGCGCATGTATAACATGTTTTACCGATATCGTATTCCGCGGAACAGAGAACTATATGCAGTCTTAGGCAATACGGTAGGTTAAAGTTTAGTCCGGGTCATGTTGGAGGCCAAAATTCGGGCGTATGGCTCGCTCCTCCCGTCGTGGGATATAATATGATACGTTAATTCTAAACGCCGGCCATACTACCGGATCTGGGCCGATTAGGATTTCCAAACAGTTCACTTACTGCTCATCCACCTGCCTCCACGGCCTACTCCATCGTATAACGAGCAATGCGGTAACCCGAGAATATCACACAAAGCCATGCACTCAATCGTCCTATCACACCTCACATAATTGTACCCAGATGTCAGTAAAAACAACCCACCTCCACGAATATTCACAAGAAACCGGCGGAAACAATTTTCTCCCCACGATATATCCGGAGGTATACTTGAGTGGCTGAAACAACCGTGGCTCGATACGATATGCAGCCGCCCCTCAGCCGTATGTGGAGTGGGTGAGCAAGTATCGTAGCACTTCCGCATATAAGAGTCTAATTAATCATGTGACGTGAGGTTTATTTCTAAAGCGATAGGGCATTCTCATACTCCACGTATCATGCTGGAGGAAACCTCTGTTGCGAGACACTGCGGCTGTTGGCCGTGCTTATTTGTGTGGGTGGCTTGATGTCAGCAGCGAATGAGGGAGGAGTGGCAATGACGGCGATCGAATAACCGGGTGCGGGGAATATGCGGAGATTGTGCATCGCATATTGTGTTGTTGTCCAAGCAAAGTGATTGCCCTATGTGGACTCTTGATG